ATTTTTGTGGACAAGTCAGAGAGAAAAGAAAAAGGAATGTTATGCAAGCATTAACAATTAGTAGATTGGAGACTGTGTCCAGAACTGTAACCTTCTCTCCTAGGCAGCTTCTCAGTATGAGTAGCACAGACCAAATGTACAGCAATGCACAGAGTCAGAAAAAACATGATAGCACAAATGCAATTAAAACCAGAAAAGGTACGTAGAGCTTATCTGGCTTGATGTTGTAAGTGTCAAAAACAACAACGAAGTTTAACTTGCCATAAATCTCTAATGTGASCAAGGCTTTCTAGAAGTCTTCAAAGAACTGGAACAAGAGATTCTGCAACTCTTTATGGCTTGCAATATACTATTTTCATCCTTTTCATCAACAGTAGTTATACATAATATTTAGATGCCTTCATGAAGATAATGTAAGTAATAAATATTTCAACAGGAAAAGCTGTTTCTTAAAATTGCCTTAGTGTAGTTCAGTGGTTTTTTGCTTTATGTCACCCTTACGACAAACGCTTCCAAGATCCTTATAGTGTTTTTACAATGATGCTTTGCTTTAAAATAAAAGCCAACAAATATATTAAGATTGTTTTCATATAAATATGAAATGTCTGTGTTAAAAACTATAGGTCTGGGGAGAAAAAAAAATACACATTTTCACAAAACGGCAATAAATTTCTGCAATGGCAAATTTATTTTGCATTATTCTATTCCATTTTTCARTACAAAATCTTCTGTCTTCCAGATGAGACTGGGAAAATAGGGATTTCAATGGTTTATCAGCTGTTCTCCTTGATAGGTTTCCTTGTGGAAATATTTTTGAGAAGCAGATAACTTGCAATGACTCTGATGTACAGAATGTTTCCGAACTAGATTCTAGCCTTCACAGAACTTTCCTACACAACATTGAGATGATTTACTAAACACAGTAACAGACAAGGAATGAAATAGAATGACTAGTAGACAATACCAGGGAATTCATTTGTAGGACAGAAAGCAATACATAGCACCAGTAAGAGCACTGTAAGTCTTATTTTAGCAGCAGTGTTCACTCTTGGCTGCAAAATCACAGCTGGCACCTGTAACTTCTAAAGCAACAAGCATGAATGATCAGAGTGGAATGCCTAGGCAACAGGTCACATTATTAAAGGGTAGAAGAATAAACACACTTAAATACTACCTACTGGAAGCTAAGCAAAAAATACTAAGAGAAAAGGAAGACGACTTAAAGCTGTGAGAAGAGGAAAAATACATGAAAAGCTAACGCCATCAAAGGGAAAGATCCATAGTCTAYGCAAGCAATAATCTGTAAGATTATATAGCATACTCACTAAGAAATCTATAGCGGCAGTTTGAGATTCAATGCACAGTTTTGTGGTTTGTAACAGCTTTTCATCACACACATTAAAAAACGATTCTAACCAAATTCAAAATAAAGTAGGATAGAACCTTGACATACCTTCTGCTGTTACAGCCACATCAAAGAAAAAAAGCATAACACTACTCCCAGAAAGAGCTAGACTATACATCAGAGCACCTACTCTTCAATAAAAAAAGCTTGAAAACTCAGATACCTCATTTTTATTGAAATATTTGCTATGAAGTATCATTTGAAAATGAGTGATGACCACAAACACAAAAATTCCAACAAGGAAAAAATTAAAGTAACTTCCCTTTGGCTTAGCAGCTGTTTGACCCAAGACACTTTCTACCTTTACATAGCACCTAACACACTACAAAGTGACCATGTATCTGACCATTCTAGATAAACATGTTTCTCATTGGCAGATACACAGCAATCAACCAGCAARAGTCACTAATAGAGGTCCAGAGGAGCATAACAGAGGTGCTGGTATAGTATGAACAGATTTGTAGCATTCAGGTCACAATCTCTATTCAGTCTTGCATTTCCATTCTTTTCCTGCTCACCACAGGTATCATCTTGCTCAGGGTCTTGCAATATAAACAGGGWATAAGTACATAGAGACAAAATTCACCCTCACCCTCATTTCCCAGCACCCTTCCCAGATATGTCAAGAGCAATTGGTATGGCCACTACCATACTCAGTAGAAACAAGCGAAAACTCCACTACAGAAGTCTGAGCTGCGGGGGTGAGGAGAGAAAAGCAGACTAAAGATTACTTGCCCCTTACATAATTTGTTTCAGTGTGCTGAGCAGAAAAATCATCCTGTCACCACATCAATTCTTAAAGAAATATTCACAACACCACCTGCATCTTCCCGCATACTTCCTCTGCACTGCAAGTTGTGCCCATGAGCTGCCACATGCTTTGGGAGCTGCAGCCAAAGGGGATATAAGGGACTGTACCTGTAATATAACTGTTGGAAAAGAAAAGAGGAAAAGGAGGAAGAAGTAAATAAGACAGCACTATATAGCACAGAACTGAAGATGCAGCAAGCAAATCCAACGGGAAGCCTTTGATTACACAGTGCCATTTTATTCTCACTTTACTGGAAACGGACAGGAGACCAATGGGGAATGCTGGAACTCTTAATTTATGCTAYAGTGCATCTTCTATCTCAGGGGAACTTGACATTCACAGAGATGACACCTAGAACCAACATCATCAGACAACAGAAGTTACCTAYAACACCTGTTCCRAACCACTGGCCTTCCAGGTCCATCCTCACTTTYATCCCTCAAACTYCCTGCTATAAAATACCTCCAGACTAACAATCCTGTCCTCCTTTCTCAAAGCCATTGCAGTTTGGATCCTTCTTCCACATCATCCCTCTCTCTGCCATACAACTGTGTAGTCCTGTGACAGGACTGTCACTGTTAGTGGCAATTCCTAAGCTCGGTATTGAATTTGCAAGACCTCAGGACTAAAGCCTGACAGGCTTACTTTGGCTGAACTTCTGACCTACCTGCAACTGTTCCTTGATTTAGCTGCAACAGCAATTCCTCTAACTGACCAGGTGCCTATGCCTAATTGGTTCTACTTTTGTTTACCTGGGCATGCTRCAATTATAGTTTCATATAGAAGCAGTGAAAAGCAGKSMCTGCTTTTCACTGGGAATGAAATATTCCCAACTCCACAACAATTATGTAGCGTAAAGAAACACAGGCCTGGTACACGAACAGTGGCCTTGAGAAGGGAAGATAGGACATAGTGGAGCACAGGCATGGGATAAACACAGCCATCTTCTACAGACCCAGCACAGGACGCTCCACAACTTGAGAGATGCTGGCTAAGAGAAAAGGAGACCTGAACAAAACTGGCTTTTAGGCATAACAAAGAAAGAAAGAAAGAGTATTTAATACACAGTGACTTCCACTTATTTGGATGCACTGTGGAGATAACCAATCGAGGTAGCTAACCACAGAACTTAACAGAATAATTAGTGAAGAGCAAAGTCACATTGGCAAGCATATAAAAATGATCTCAAGTGGATTCTAGAGTGAGGAAGATGAAACCACAACCATGAGTGATCACACACTGCTGGTGAAGGACACCTGATGCTGACAGTTCTCTGCAGCAGCTCACCACCACCACCACTGCCAGGATGAAACCACTGGCCTAAAGATGCAGCAACAGGGAGCACAACTTCTGTAACTGCACTACTGTTCTTTCTTTTTTGCAACATTTAGAAGTAAAAATCATTTGGCTATCAAGATTTCAACTATTCCAACAAGAAAATCTTGACCTTTCCTTTGACATATGTTTCTATTTTTTGGACACAAATGACATTTTCTATGCAGCACCCCAGAGAAGCCTGTGTTCACTAATTTACWCAGAGAAATATGTGCAGAGATATACAGAGAGAACAGGGCACTAAGACTCTCCAAGTGCTCCCTGTGCACCAACCACTACCCCAGAAAAAGYACGAAGAAGCAGAGTTTCACTACCCAAAGGCTTTTCCATGCTTCTAGCATCAACCACACTGCATACAAAGATGAGCACTAGGTCTTCTTTCCTTTAGAGCACAAATATCCAACCCTTCCCTCTTCTTTCTCAAGTCACACACAACTCATCTCCCTGCCAGAGCTGCTCTCAAAACACTCCTTTGAAGTACAGCCTATGAAACAAGCTGGTAACAGCAGACACTAGAAAGCAACACACATGGTGTGGCAAAAGGCGTCAGGAAAAACAGTCAGATGAGGAAAATACCTCAGTTGAGAAAACATTCATTACCCAGAAACGACCAGACAAACTGAAGATTACACCCTAMCCTAACACAGGGCAACAGCCTAAGYTAATATCAATACTTGCCTAAGTAGAAAAAACTGCTTATGGATAAAAGAGCATTGTGGGAAAGAGCTGTCATGGGGAGAAACATTTAATGGCTCAAAAAGTTAAGGAGGAAACGCTGTAGTTTCTAAATTACACACACTCCAAGACAACAGTTTTCATTTAACTGTCACAAAAACTAAAAAYACAGTCTAAACTGATTGTACCTTTATATACATTACTTTATAGTAACAAGTAAAAATACAGTCTTTCCTGATGGGGTATGTATATACAATGTCATTCGGTGAGYATTCCATATGGTTAATACAGCTGCCTTTATAGGAAACACTTGCACACAAAAAAGTTCACAGATGGGGCATTGTCCACGACGATATGAACATAACCACACAGACGACCCTCTTATCCGGCAACCACTAAAGTATCCACCATCKGCATTTATTAACCAAGCATAAGAAACATGTAGGTATCACTGTCACAGCACGATCTAYAGCACTAATGCCCAGTAAGAGATAAGAAATAATTAATAAACGCACATTTGAATCACTTCGATTGCACTAAGCAGCAATTTTTCAMCTGGAAATCGAGCCGCCTGCCCCTTCACGGACAAACACACGCACGGCCGGGCCGAGCCGGGCCTGGCGCGCCCCGCCTGCGATGAGGCCGCGAGCCCAGGCCGGGCCCGGCGCCTGACTCAGCGCGGTGTGGGCCGTGTCACGCCGCCGCGGGCGGCCCGGCGCGGGGGTCCCTGCTGCGAGATAGGGGGGCAAGAGGGGGCTTCCCTGTATCCCTCACCTCTCCTCGCTCCGGTTCTTCTGCTTCTTGCCCATGGCGGCGACACCGGCGCGCGCGACTCCTCAGCGCTGACCGCGCGCCGCCCCGCGCGCCGCCCCGCGCATATGGCACCGCCGCGCGCCGCGCACGCGCCCGCCCCGCCCCCGGCCCCGCCCCTGTCGCTCCCGGCCGCGCCGCGGGCCTCCGGGCGCTAGCGCCCCCTGCCGGCCGGAGGGGGAWCGGGCCCWGCGTCGGYAGCTCTGGCGCGCTCCAGCGATCGACCGGCGTCGTGAAACCGGCTGTGCTCGCTTCAGTTTGGACCTCGGGCTGCACTCGGAAAATGTCCGAGTGACGCCCTGAATCTTGTAGTTATCCTCATGGTCCTCATGCAGCCCCAGAAAACATTTAACACCCAAAATCTGCAGCTTCCCTCCAGCCCTCCTTCCTCCCCAAGGGGCCCAAGACTTCCTGGCAGGATTGTGGCCCGTTTGGACATGAAGCCTGACTGAATAATCAGAATAAACAYGTTTGGAAAGATTTTACCTGGAGGCAAATGGGCAGCTAAGTCAAAGTGAGGGAATGGAGACGCTAAGRGGGAAGTTCTAAAGGGAGCAGGGCAGCAGTACACTGACCACACAGTAACTCTGGTATGGGACATGCCCAGGACACCTCACTGCTCCTATGGGTACACAAGACACACTCCCCAGCCCTTCAAGGGGCTCTGCTGGTCCATCATCCCCCGCATCACGCTGCACTGTAGGTGAAGTGCTATTAAAATTGTATCATCTGAGTCTCAGGTTACTAGCCTTCTGCCTGACAGCTGGGCCGAAGATGCAGCACTGGATTGATGTCAATCACCAAATCCAGCTCCAAGGATGGGAGACTTTCCCTGGCAGGGAATTCGTCTGCTAGGCACCAACATTTAAAGCACCGGYAATTCCTTCCCCCTTGCCAAATTTTCTGAGTGTGCAAAGCTTTGCCTCCCACTCYCCTCCAAGGAGCCTTGGAAGCACACACGGCGCTGGACCATCTCACAGGAGAGCCCGGGTCCCGCTGCTGCGGGGCAGGAGGAGGTGGCCGATGCTCACAGAGGAACAGTGTGGAAGAGATGCAGCAAATACCATGGCATGGGGCACAGGGGCTCTCAGGTGCAACCCCACCTTCTCGTGGCCACGTTCCTCAGGAGCAAAGCAAGATGCAGTAGAAATAACGACACTCACAGGGAGCAGAGACATTATTTTATGTATTTTTTTTAATTGGCAACACATGTTCTGTTGTTATAATCACTCTGCCACAGTAAATCCTTTCATCGTCAGAGTAAGGCTCACTGTTCTCTACACCTTTCAGCCTCAGGATCACAACCTCTATTTTGCTTCGCTCCCTAATCACCCTGACTTCTTACCTCCCTCTGCCCTTACACAGCCGTAGCTCCTTATCAGTGTCTCCCACCCACGTTCCCAGCAGACTACAGATAARGCCGAGTTATCTTCCCACCACTCCTTCCCCGTCCGCGCACTTCGATTCCGGGGAGCCAGATTTCCAAGAAAGAAAGCAGAACACTTGCGTTGGTATTTTTCTTTTTTCGTTCCGTTGTTGTTTGWTGTTTGCTGTTGCTTTTCAACACGCTTTAATATCGCGTTATTTAAATCAGCGGATCTTCCACCGCACGTAAGAGAAAGAAGCAAAGACGGCGAGCCTCAGTTGCTACAACACAGTCCGCGTTCTCGGCGAGCCGGCCGGAGCGGCACGGCCCTCGCAGCGTGACTTACCTCACGCCATCGCTCCAGGGCCCGGCCCCGCGGCTCCCGACCACCACACCCCCGCTGGGGCCGGCCTCGGCCTCGGCCTCACGCCCATCCCCGAGAAGAAAACCCCCAAAGAGCAGCGGCGGCTGCAAACATTACCACCTCTCCCGCTGCAGTAGCCAGAACCGCGACGGGGAAWGGAGGAGCAGGAAGGGGGAGTGCCTTGCTCCATCCCCTCGCACCGAGGCGACGGTACGGAGGTAGCGCCCAGCCGGCGGGTGCCGAGCGGAGGGCGGGTGCCGCGGGGACGGAAATCTGGTGAAGGCGGGGACGCCTCCGGGCGGAGCTGCGGGGTGTGGAGGGTGGGGCGGCCATCTCTGGCGAGCCGCGCTCCCCCCCGCAGCCCCCGCCCGCAGGTGCGGCGTACGCACGCACATACACACATGAGCACGCACGCACGCACGCACATACGCACATGAGCACGCACGCACGCGCGGCAGCGGGGCGTGCCCCCTCCCGCCGGGCCGCGGCCAGTCAGCGCGTCTGGGGGAACTCCGCGGGTGCGCGCGCGGCCTCCCGCAGGCACGCGCGACCGTTTCCCCGGCCAATCAGCGCGTCGGCGTAGCTGCGCGCGCGTGCGCCCCGTCCCGCGCTGACTCTCGCGATAGCCGCGGTGGGGCGCGGCCGGCGCGCGAGGAAGCGGAGGGTGAGCGGCGGGTGCCGGGTCGGGGTTGCGGCCGCGGGCGGTGGCACCACCAGCACCGAGCCCGGCGCGGGGCGGCGGCCCTGGAGAGCCCGTCCACAGTTGGGTGGGTTGGTTGTCTGTGGCGCTGTGTGTAGCGCGGTGGGAGTCGCGGAGCCCCTGCGCGGTGCCCCCGCCGTGTGCTGTCGCCCTCGGCCGGGCCCCCGGCGCCGCTTCCCGGTCGAGCGGCAGAACCGCGTCCTCGCCGGTGGTGTCGAGGCTCGCGGCTGCGTAGGAAAAGCCTGTTGGTAGCCGCGGTTCCGCGACTTCAGAACCGGGAGACCGCTGGGGACCTCGGGTTGTAGTGGGGACTGKCGGGGGTTGGTCCTGTTTTCCTTCCCGTTTGCTTGGAGGACGAGCCTCCCTTTGCCCCAGCTGAGCAGGGTCCCTCCGTCGCCTGGAGACCTGCTGGCCTCTGATCTTCGCTGGCGAGGTTCATGTTCCCTCTGGAAATACAAGAAAAAGACTTGGYGGTTAGCTGCTTTGGGAAGAGGGAGGCAAAGCAAGGTGCCACGGGTGAAAGCGCGTGTGCCAGTGACACGTGTGACAGCAGGCTGGACACTGCTGGTGCTGCAGTACGCCTGGGGTGCTGCCGTGAGCTTGGTACTCTGCCCGTCATTACTTAAAGTGTTTTCCTTGCCTGTCTGTACAAGGTGTTCACAGAGCCAGTGGCACTGGCAGTTCRGCTGCTTTGAAATACAGCCAAGAGTACTCTGGAACCCAAATTCAGTACGTCAGACCCATGGTCAGCAGGTTGACAATCTGAGTAGAGTGACTCTGCACTGTCACTGTTTCAAAACTGTCAGTCACTAGACTGATAATTTTTTGCACTGTAAGTTTGTTGAGAAGAATAGTTGATGGTGTTGTCACAGCTCCTCATGCACTCTGGTTAGTGTGTTGTGTCTTTTGATGTGTTTGGACAGGAAGAACTTTACAGAAAATTATTTTGGCTGTGTTTCTTCACACAGCAATTAGGTAGTGGCTTTTAAATCCTCTTGCTGGCTGCCATAGGGTGGTGTTTGTAACAGCAATTTTCTGGTACTAATTAAAGCAGTGTATTAGCCTAAAACATTTGCTGTTAAGCACCTTCTTTTTCTTATAGCTGAGGAGAGAGATGTTAATTCAGTTTTAAATATGTTTATGCTGAGGAGCTTAAAGTAATTCCATTAAAACTATTGGTACAAACTTTTATGCTGAGTGTTGCTTAGACTTGTTCTGAGGCATCTTATACCTCCTCCCAGCAGCTTGGAGCTTCCCAACTGAAACTTCTTGTTTCAGARTARTTATTAAGAACTATCTTCTRTCTRYTTCTGTCTTCAAGTAGCACAGCATTTTGTTTCTCTGTGGTGTGAACTGCAAGCAAAGAGAGATCAGGCTTTTAATTAATTGTTTGTTTAAATATTAATTCCTTGTGTCACTCTTTCCACAGCTCTGAAGAGATCACTTTCCAGCTAAAGATGGCTGCTGATACACCTGTTGATATCCTTCAAAAGGTTCTGGAGAATGAAATACTTCAGTCTACTAAGGTTGTGGAAGAACATCTGGATGCTGAAATACAGAAGCTGGACCAAATGGATGAAGATGAATTGGAACGCCTTAAACAAAGGAGGCTTGAGGCCCTAAGAAAGACTCAGCAGCAGAAACAAGTAATTTCTGTAGTACAGACTCTTGATGTGTAGAGTGTATCAGACTTTCTGGAAACTCTTTGGAAATTATATATGTGAACTCACTGTTTTGGAGTTGTTTGGTTGGTTTTGTGGATTTTTTCTTCCTCTCCTTTCTGTGTTTATTAATTTTGAGTTATCTAGGAAAGCATCTGTCCATGTGTGCATGCTCAGTGTTTTTTAGCAGGAGKAGAAGCACCTCTGTGATTGTTACAATAAGGATAGGATAAYGAGTCTCRTACAGAGGTGAACATTGCTATCTGRAAACATCARCCTTGTAGGCAACCTAATCATAAGCCATTAGGCTCCTTCTGCAGTGTCTTTCCTCCRAAGCTTCCTTCTGAAACTCTGGATYRTTRCTAACAGCATAAAAGTGATATGTGTCCTCCTCTTAAGATATTTTGTAGAAGGGTGAAACAGGATTTTACCTTGTTCCTGGGCCGGAATCATTGGTCACACCCTTTCTAAGCCAATGAAGTGTTGTCTTTGTATGACTACTCATCTCCTCTTAGAGGAAGGAAAGTCCCTTGGAACTTGATAGCTCATGTCCAGTTGTGGTCTTTATGATCCCTCAAAGCTCTTTTTGAGCAGTAGCTTACACCAACATGTTGATAACATACAGTGCGAGACCTGAATTACAAATAAGGAAACTGTAGGTTTCTTAGCTTATTCCATCTGAGCAAACCTAAACAAGAACCAGATTGTGTTGGGGGAGAAGTGATTTGGCTGGACGGAGATGCTCTGGCTGTGATGGAATCCTTAAAAGTTCTTTAAAGRCTTTGAAATAGGGATGCAGTGAAATGTCATGGCATGGCTAGGATGCTGGAGGACAGGCAGCACCAGGAGCTTTGRTTTTCTAAACATGGAAGTAGAGAAAGTGGCACACTATTTGCTTGTTTTCAGTTCAGTTTATATTTGATTCTAGTGTTTTCCTTTTTCAGAAGTCATAACACTTGGATGTCCTTGGATGCGAATGTGTGATAGATTCATGCAAAAAGGGATGTCATTTTTCACATCATTTGCTATTAAATCACTGTTTTCACACACTTTAAAATGCGTATGTGAAGTAGGACACTCCTCAGTGAAAGGAGTGAGTTCTTGATTTGCATCATGATGACTTCTTCATATAATCATACTTCCATGAAATTTTAATGTATACAGTATTCAGGAGATTCTTTGTTCTGTTCTAATTTAGCTTACAGAAAATCTTTGGTTTGCTTGGAAACCTTTTTTTCCTTCACTCTGCTAAGGCAAAACTGCAAAATCAATAATACTGATTTATCTAAATATTTTCCCCYGTTGGAAAACGAAGGTTTTTATCAAATTTTGTCCTACTGCACTACTTCTAATCGTTTAGCTTAGTCTATACTTGTTAATACACTGCAGTTAATTTTTAGTAATGTAGAGAGCTGTGTTCTTTTTTTTCTTAAGTGTGTTGAAAATGTGGAAGATTAGCTCTTTGGAAACTGTATTTGCACRCTTAATCAGACAGTTTTTGAAGTTACCTCTAAATTTTAGCTTGCGGCATTCTATTTCCCCATAGATGCTATGACTGATGGTGCATGTGTGTTTTCTGAATGGTTTTCTGTGTGCCTGGTTCATGATCCTGTCAGTATATATTTAATAGATAAACATATCTATTGCAGATGAGTTAGTAGGCTTTCTTCTCATTGGTTTTTTTTTCACAGAGTGAAAAATTTAAAGAATTATTTAATTTATTTAGTGACTTGACTAAGCATAAGAGAAGAGTTCTTTGAGTGTACAAAACCATTTTGGAGGAAGTAGCCCGAGCTGTCAATTGGCAATTTTCAAATGCAGAGTTTTTGTTGTATTCTTTGAGCTAGTCTTGTCTCACTGAGAGGCTGCATTGCAGGAATTTATGTAGCTCTGTACAAAATTTATATTTCCAAATAAGCAAGGCAGCCTTATTTGTATCTGTTCAAGATTAGACTAAAGGGGAGTAAGTAATTTGTTTCTCCATTACTGTATGAAATGTTTTTTCRTTGCAGACCCCCTTTTCCATTTTATAAAAGCTGTGGAGTTTGCACGACAGATGAAGGWCTAACAATCTCCATACTGATTATTTGCTTTTATATTTTCCAAAAGGAGTGGCTTTCAAAAGGACATGGAGAATACAGAGAAATCCCAAGCGAGAGAGACTTTTTCCAAGAAGTCAAAGAAAGTAAAAATGTGGTTTGCCATTTCTATAGAGATACAACATTCAGGTATAGTAAATAAGGTGTGCTGAAGAAAGCTTTTATTTAAAGATGTCTACAAAACTAGATGTGTTCTTTTGTTCTTTCAAATCCCACAAATAAATAAGCATTTTTAGAAGTATTCACATTGCTTCATTATAGATCCTGCTCATTTTTCATGACATTTTATTTTTTAAATGTATTTTTTACATTACAGTTAATCTGAATATGATTTGACAACAACTAATACTCTGGTACATAGTTGATTAAAACATAGATCCTCTTTGACAATATTTGAGAGGCTGTTATGTTTCATTATTTTCTTAGTTTGAGGCAGCCAGATCTGTAAACGTACTGACCATACAAGAACAGCATTTCAAAAAGATTGCTTTGGTTATTCCAGATAGAGATATTTCAGGTGGTTCTGGCAAACAGAAATAAAAATATAACCAAAATCTTGTCTAGGCATCTTGAAAATGTGACTTTTTACTTTGAAAGGATCAGTTGCAGCTGCTTTCCCTTTGTGCCTGGGCCTTTGTGATTCTGTCACTTTTTTTTAGAGTATGAGACACCTAGATCTGTGAATATGTCCTGACTCAGAATAGGAACCCAAACTAAGATGTCACACTTCCTTGGAAGAATTTCAGAAGTTCTGGCTGTTCCTCACTGGATTTCTCTCAATGTGTTCTGTTAAAATGCAGTTGCAAAGTAGAGTAGTTTATTGAAGGAGGAGCCAGTTGTCCTAGTTTTGGTTTTTGTGGGGTTTTTTTCCCCCAAAGGTGTTATGTTCTCCTTAGCTTATAGAATATAAACTGAACCAGGCTCCATTTGAGAAATTGAAGAGGTCAAAGCTGGATTTTGCAGTGAGGTRTCTGTGTCCTACATTTTCTGAGTGTTTAAAGCAGTTCTGTTTGGCGAGCTTTAACTCGAGAAGGTGAAAGGCTGTCGCTGCAAATAAAGTAGCTTGGAACAGGTTTGGGTTGTTTGGTTCTTTTTTCTTGAAGCAGCAGAGTCTATAGGCTCAGACAGGAGAAGGAACTTCACAGAAAGTGCTTTGTAAAATGTTTCATGTTGACAACCAGCTTGAAGTTAGTGTGTTGGGTTTACCAGCCACCGTATCAAGTTGCTTTCATCTTTGCCCAGTCCAGCTTTTTGATCTGTTCAGCTCCTCTCCAGTTTAAGGACAATCACATCACAGAGTTCATGMAGCAAAGCTGGACCGCTTAGAGAAGACAATCCAGAAAGCTGAGATTGCTGATGACAMGTCCACAAATCTCTGCAATCTGACAAGCATTTTGAGCAGTTGGTGTCACTGTCCCACAGCTGAGAAACAGTAATTGTGTGCTCTGCCCTGTTCCATGGCAACAGAAAAGCGAAGTGTTTTTGCCTGTAGCACTACTGTGCAAAGCAGTCCGTGCAAATCACTTTTTTTTTTTTCACTTACACTGAGTTACTACCTCTCAGCTCTGAAGATGGTGGCTGCAAAAATTCAAAACACATGTTTAGAGTACTTTTCCAAAGAAATCTTCTATAGAGAAGTCTTTCCAGTTGACAAGCAGGGAAGTTGGAGCTGGAACAATAAGTCAGAAAGAAATGTCATCACTAAGTGCAGGCCTCAAAAAATGAGAGCAAGGCTTTCAGGTGTATGGAAGGTAATTAGGAAGAAATTAGAGAAAGGGATGGTATAATTGTACAGTAAAGGTGCTCCAGGCTGTTCCTCTGTTAGTCATTAAATCCAGCTACCTCTAAAACATAGTTTCTCTTGAAACTGAATTCTCAATTACAAATGTCGTATCTGAGTCTTAATGTGATAGAACTAGCTCTTTACTGSTCCTTTTAAACTTTCTTTCAAATGCATATTTTTCAGCTTATTCATTCTAACACTATATATTTTGGGTTAATTTTTCCACAGGTGCCAAATAATGGACAAACATTTGACTGTATTGGCAAAAAAGCACATYGAAACAAAATTTTTGAAATTAAATGCTGAAAAATCTCCTTTCTTGTGCGAGAGACTGCGCATAAAAGTAATTCCCACTCTAGCACTAATAAAAGATGGAAAAACACATGACTACGTCGTGGGCTTTACTGACCTTGGTAACACTGATGACTTCACTACAGAAACCTTAGAATGGAGATTAGGCTGTGCAGACGTAATTAATTACAGGTAATTAAGTGTTTCATGATTGTCTTATTTTCAGATAAGTGCAAAGAGAATGAGCTTGCAGACGGGAGAATCGGAAAGATTGTAACTTCAATATGTTGTACGCTAAAAAAGAAATGTGAGAGTTTAGTCTATTTATTTAATCTGTGTTCTTCATCAAGGGGAAGAGGAGAATCTCCCTGGCAAAGCATTGAGACATTGTAACAAGTGTTGTGTTGTCCTTTTTTATAGTAATCAAAATAAACCCAGTTCTTGTCATGAGGTATATGRAGTAGCAGTGATGCTCTGAGATGGCTTCAGAGTCAAGCATCTAATGTAATCCTCTCTAGAGCAGTAGCTGTAGATGCTTCATGTCATGGTTGCAATGCAGTGAAGTCTGAGCATTTTTAATCCACTTTCGAGAAAACTGAGCAAGTCATCCTTAAACTGCATCTTAATRTTACAGGAATATACCTTTTTTAATGAACATTACTGAAAATGGAAAATAATTTGAAGATCTGTAAATCAATTGAGTAACCATACAATATAATCATCATAAATACCTTGTTAAAGTCTACAAAACAAAAGGCAGTAGAAGGTGTGTGTCACCACAATAACTTAACTTCACAGGAGAATTATTTACCAATTTGCATTCCAATATGGCTCAAATGTCATCTATCTTTTCAGGTTAATTTTGCTCTATTGTTTTGAATGTCTTTGGTGCTTTTTTAATTTTAAATTTCATTAYCTCAATTTACTTAAATATCTAATTTCCAAGTTTTGGCAAGACGTATTGTATCTTAAAGCCAAAGAAACTACTATTCAGTTTGGCTTAGTAGTTGTTGAACTTCAAGTGAAGTGACTGAAATTTATKATTTTAAAACAATTTGTATTTCCCWGTTCARTAACAAAYAAATATGAAGAGACAGCTTGGATGCATATTCTAGACAGCAACAGCCTTTTATGGGAAAAATCCTGCACTGGAGTTGTATCAAGCAGCACTGAATTTGCTAAACATTGGCTTCTGGCATAGTTTTACTTCTCCTTGACTCTACTAGTACTGTGTATTTGTTCTTAACTCCTTGACTCTACTAGTACTGTGTATTTGTTCTTAACTCCTTGTGGAGCAGGGGAGTTTGGTATTTCGTTGATTTTGGCAGACCCTGGCATCTCAATGCGCGCCACATTTCCACACTGCTCTGGAAGTAATGTCCCGCTCTCTGGAGTTCCTGAAAAGGGCAGAGGCCTTCTGAGAGCCTAGAAATAGTTCTTTTCATTCAGCCTGTGGGATAGCATATGGTAAAAGAATATACTTTTTTTAGGGGAAAAGCTGTTCAGGTCAGATTATGTGCCCAAAATCAGTATTCAAGTGGTRTATTGACATATGTAATTAAATATTACTCAGTGAACTGTACATATGGGATTAATATCAGCAAAATAGTATGAACATTTTTTAAATAACTACAAATTTCTAAACGCTCCTCTATAGCTCATTCCAGAAGGTTGTAATTGTTATAATTGCTCACTCACTCACTGACACTTGGATGCAAACCCCTCATAGGTCATGTGAGCGAAAGCAGAGCGCGCCCTTTTCTGAGAAGCTGGAGGGAATTCCCCTCCTTGTGCAACCCTGGAAGAGAAGCAGGTGCTCCAGCTTTATGTGAAAACCTGCTGTTCCCTACAGGGAACACAAGTCCATTCCCATGGAATTTCCATGCTGGTGGAAAACCCCTGCAGGATCATCAGGGYGCTCTGAAGTGTGAGTTCCCCCACAGTCCTGGAGAGCAGTGTCATGTGGGGAAGATTCTCTGTCCAGCCTAGGCAAAGGTAGCACAAGGGGACTTCCGGCAAACCCCAGTTTCAGTTTTGACTCTGAAATCCCTATTAACAACATTTTAGCTTTTTTTTTTGTACTGATGGCTCCTCATCTRTTTTGAGGAGTTGAAGTTTCTCTTGTAATTACTGCTTACAGTAATCCACGGTTACTGTTTAAAGTGACAGATTGTTGTCTTTAGCATGATCAATTTGCAGAAAAAGCCTTTTCACACAGTTTTTCTCTTACAACTCCACTCACAGGTGCTGTTTACTTTCACACTCCTGTCTTAACTCCAGTTATGCAGGCCATTTTGTCCAGGATGTGCTATGCTAGCAACATCACAGTGCTGTTAGAGTGGCTGTGGGAAGTAGGCATTGTGTTCACTTAGAATGTGTTTTTCTGGAGAAATAGTTCATTAGAGATGCTGGTTACTGTCTATATGAATTTGKCTTTAATCAACTTTTCTTACCTCTTTTCTGTAGTGGAAACTTGATGGACCCACCTTTTCAAAGTCAAAAGAAATACGGAACAACCTTTACGAAGCTGGATAAGAAGACCATCAGAGGAAAGATATATGATTCAGATTCTGATGATGACTAGAAGAGCCGCTAAATATATTTGTAAATCATCTTTTGTTTATGYGTGGTACATTTCTAAGAATGTTTTTTATAAAGCTTAATGCTTTTCATTGCATCTGCACATAATTCTCATTTTTCTATACAGTTTTATACAACTGAGTCATAGCAGAAAAAGCTTAAGTATTATTTTTCTCTTTTGGAAGTCATTTGTAATTTGAAAATCTTAGTCCTTCTAACTAAACAACATGGCAAATGATGAACTTAAGCTCTTTGTCTTAAGTATAAGTTTATGAAATGCTTTGAAGTAACTTAGAAACAGCTGTATAAAGTCAGACCAAAGGTCCCTCTGGCCCAGGATCCAGTCTCAGTGGCTTAACGGAGATGCACAAGGAAGAGTGAAAACAGGGTGACCAGTTAGCAGTGCTTCCCCACAATCTACTTCAAGCAGTCTGTGGCTTGGGGAGCTCTGTATCTGAGAGCATTTGCTGGTTAAAACAATGGAAGAAAAATCTCTTTAAAACCTCATGGTATCGAGGCATCCAAATCATGTGACCAGGAAGCCACAGTTTAGCTGTGCTGTGTGAGGAACTACTTCTTGTTGTTTTCTTTGAATCTGACAAGGATTTTTTTTCTATTTTTCTTTATTAAAGGAGATAACAGACACTTTGGAAAAAAAGATTGTTCTCTATCAGTTCTTCTTAAATTTATCATTACTTATATTATCAGTAAAGCACCACGAAATTATTAGTAAAGAAATTGTGCATTTTAACAAATAATTGCTTATCTTATGGTGCCATATCATGCCATTGAATAAATTAACTGCATTGCACTATAAGTTGTAAAAACAGTCAACTTCTGAAATAGATGGCCAAGAAATGCCCTTTTACCATCTATGAACGCTGCATGTCAGAGCTGATAAAGCAGGTAATAGCACATAGCAACAAGCATATTGAAAACAGCCTTGTTCACGGGTTTGTATCATTCTGTGGTTGTGAATGTGTGGATTTTATAGCAGATGCTTTGTACAAGAGAGTAGAATAGAGAAAAGTATTTGGGAGAAACCTTGATCGTTAAATTTAGATATAGTGCCACATACTGTGTACTGTTCTTCAGTAATGGACAGAATTTTCAAGAAGGATCTTCCTTGGACACAATGTAAAATTTCTGGCTAGGTGAACAGTTGATGAGTTTTCTTTTCATTTTCAAAAGAATGATTTGCTTTGTGATGAAGGGCCCTTTTGAGGTGGTATTTTGAATCCAGTTGGTCTAAAAAGCAGTGAAGTGGATCTAGTCAGTCCTGCTGCCTTGTAATAGAGAACACTTGTGATTGGGCCAGCCCAGCAATATATCTCTTTAAGTTTAAAAAATTATATTTTATTTCTGTTCATGTACATTGAAATAAAATTATTTTAATTCTAATGTTGACTACTACATCCTTTCAAAGAAGATTTAGGTGCTGTGGATTCATTTCTCTGTTAATAAAGTCAGGAGGGCTGTAGGAACTCTCTAGATTTCTAAYAGGTGATGTACCATTCTGTCTTAACATACACAATCACTTCGAGAATGCAATCAGYTTAAGATGTATAGAGCTGCCTGTTCATCTAGGAGAGCATAGACTTGCTTTGCATCAATGTCCCTTTTTATGCACAAATTCTTTAAATGTATTAAAAAGTGCTCCTTCATCCAGTTGCATGAAATTTAGGAAACCAATGTTCCTACAGTATTTTTACAATTGTCTTAGCAGGACTTASCACTGAGCCATAATTGTGTTGAATAGGCTGTGGAAATCTAAAACCACCTCTAATGTRGTTGCATGCTGTGTAGAAACATGTGGGCTTGTCAGGATTCCAGCACSGTGCGTTGTTGGAGGTTACTCAGTTCCATGCATGAATAACCTCATTACAAACTCAGTGCATATCCCACTTGTAGTCTGTGGTTTCATGGCACTTTAAGCTGATGATTTTTTTCTAGGTTAATCTTCCTTCATCCTTCCTGGGACCTCTTCTTTCATCAGGCTTGTAACATAACCRCACATTCTCTAGTGCTGATTCAAGGAGTTTGCAGGCATGTGTGGTTTGGGTAKAATCACAGATTCATAGAATGGGCTGGTTTCCAAAGTCATCTAGTTCCAACTCCCGTACCATGAACAGGGGCACTCCTGCCATGGGTAGAAAGGGAAATTGCCACTGTTTATACTAGTAAGTTTGTATTGAAGTAGCAATCTCATAGATCTGCTCCTTCAAGTCTTAACTTCCATGTCTGCTTTCTGCATGTTCTGTCGTGAATGAACATTAAAACTGTTACTGAACAGTCTTCTGGGTTACATCTCCACCCTGCATATTACTTTGAGATGAACAATTCAAACCCCAAAAATTTTTTTTTACTGAAACCTAGAAGTTCTCTAAGAAATGGGAAATTTGAGTTTGAGTAGTGAGGAACAAAATACTCTTCTGTGATAGAGTTTAATGATTTTGCCATGCAGGTTAAATTAATGAATTGTCTGTGATCATAAGACCTAGGACAGCAAGCTAGAAGTGTCATGATACAGAGAACACCAGCTCAAACAAATGTCAGCTGTACAGACTCGAAAAGCAGAAAGATTAACTTTGTCAACAGCAATCTAGTGGCCATATGGCTGATAGATGAGATGATGATGATTCACAATATCTAGAAAAATGCAGGTTGCATGGGATTAATTACTTACAGCAGATGGATCAGATATGTGAAAACATGACTGACTAAGGTTCCTGAGCCTAGACTAATCACAAAATGATACCTGGTCTGGCATGTGTCAGCCATGAAAGAGTGACAACAAAGAGATGAGAAATGTTCATGTATAGCTTTGGAAGTGATGGGGCTTATGCCTGAACTCAGCATATAACTTTAATAATGATTAGTGCTTAAGTCTGTGCCCGATGCTTCTATGAAATAATAAAGAAAGGCATGAAGACAATAATAACCAAGTAGGATCTGGGTTGTTCAACTCTTGATGCTGAATTATGTGGACTTGACTGGACATTCCTTGATCACTGACTGATCCTGTGTTTCTACTCAAGAAATCCACCCACAAGTGAAATGCTGAGTTGAGCTTTGGGATCTGGGAMGTGTGAAGAAGTCTAGTCCCAGACAGAGGCAAGATGAGAAACAAATTCTGGAGAGGGCAACAACTGAGTAGCTGCTCTTAGACCCCTTAATATGCTGGATTATCTACAAGTGTCACAGGCGTCAACAAGGAGGCCAACTTCAAATATGAATTTATGCTCTCCAGTACTTTGTTCTAAGTAATCTGCTTTTGTTCTATCCCCCATCTAGGAATTCTAAAATTAATTTCTAGACTRCAGAAACTTCTATAGAAAGTTTGGGCTTTGACCAGTACAGTTTCTAAGACAAGCCCTTTGTCTTTCACATAAGAGTAAAGCTGGTGTTCTCAACCCAGTGTGAGGAATGCTGTCACTTCGACTCTCGCATGCACACACTAACAAGTGCAAGCTGATGCAGAAAGAGCATGGCTTTTGCACTCATTGCATATACAATAGCTGTGTAATCCACTTTTTGAACGGAAAATTCTGTCAGAACGGAAAATTCTGTCAGTAGTGTGTTGATCTGTCTCTTTAGAGCAGCTGTATGTGACATTTAGAGAGTGAGAGTTACTGTGGAGCTGAAGGAAAGCCTCTCTAGGAATCAGAGGGTGAGGGTTCTTGGTATTACAGTAGACTGCCTGAGAACTATTCTGAGGCCTATGTGGTTCCTGAGCCACCTTTAAAGGATGAATAGAGACAGGTTCCACCACATTTGACAAAAAAAGATCTACTCTGATGTTTTATTCTTGGATCGTGCTTTGAAGCTTTCAACATTCAGCCTGTCCAAGATGATTGTGGTGATCCAAGACATTGCAGTTTGCCARATGCCCCTTGTTCCATCCCCAGGCAAAGCACAGTATCATATGCTACAAAAGGGAACTTAGGCTCATACCTTCTTCATCAATTTAAAGTAACACATCAAACTGGCTAAAATAGTATGTAAGACCCCAGACATTGCCCAAAAATACTTTGTGCAAATTTGGTGAATTAATTTTAAGTGCATGTACACTGAGAGACAATGGGTATTTGTTGATGGAACGGAACTAGTTAAGAAAACTTACTTTTAGAGCTCCCAAAAGGTGCATATTCTATGGCTACTTTTTGGTTTTTGATTAGTTATTACAGCCGTGGCTTGAGCTGCCTAAAATAAGCCAACACTGATCCAGTAGCCACATGGCTGTTAGCTCAGTGTTGAATCTGTGTTGATACAATTAGCGTTTTGGAACAGAGCCTGTTCAAGCATCACCCCCCTGCTAGTGTGACTTCAACATGTGACTCTTATAAAAAAGGTTTGAAAATTAAACCTTCACAAACCATGCAACCTCCAATAACAATTGGCTTTACCCAAGATGACATTATATGAAAATCAGATGATTGTAGTACACAGAACAAYATTAATTACTTTCCTGATCTACTTCCTCCTGGCTAATTATTTCTTTTGTTATTGTACTGCCCTAGAAAAAAGCCTGAAATTGTTTCCTGTTTGGTTTCTAGAATGTTAACAGTCCTCAAGGGTTCGTATCATTAATTCCAGGCATACAGAAATGTTTTTAATAGTTATCATCAAATCACAGGGTTTGTTGGAAAGGACCTTAAACATCACCTAGTTCCACCTCCAATGTGCAGGAGCACCTTCCACCAAAACAAGTKGTTTAAAGTCCTATCCAATGTGGCCTTCAGCACTTCAGCTTCTCTGGGCAACTTGTTTYAGTGTCTCATGGTAATGACTTTCTTCCTTGTATCAAATCCAAACCCAGCCTCTGTCAGATTGAAGCCATTTCCCTTTGTCCTTTTGCTACATGCCCTTGCACAAAATGCCTCCACAACTCTGTTTGCCCCCTCTAGGTAGTGGAATGTGCTGTAAGGTCTCCTCAGAGTATTGCCTTTTCCAGGCTGAACAATCCCAACTCTCTCAGCTTGTCTTTGTAGGAGAGGGGCTCCAGCCCTCTGATGACTCTCCTCCCGACTTGCTCCAGCAGTTGCACATCCTTCTTATGCTGGAAACCCAGAGCTGCATGTGTTGCTCCACGCTGTATCTCATCAGACTGTAGTGGAGGGACAGAATCCCCWCTCAGCCTGATGGCTGTGCTGATTTTGGTGCTGCCCAGACACRACTGGCTTTCTGCTCTGCAAGCACTTTGCAGGTCATGTTGAGCTTGTCAACCAACAAGTTCTTCTCAGAGCTGCTCTCAATCCATTCATCCATCTGCCTGTATTTGTCTTTGGGATTGCCCTGATCCATGTGCAGGACCCTATCCTGGGACAAGGTGATAGATCTGTCTTTAAGCTGGGATGTAAACTGAGCTCTTATCTGGATCCTATGGCCTTTTTGCTAGAACACGTTTCCTATAGTAAAATTTAAAATCTCATTTTAGAGAACAGAAGGAAAGTAGTTCTCTTCCTCCCTCATAAACATTTCTGGCCTTAGTAAGTTTATGTGAAGGCCAGAGAGATGCAGAGTGTGATATTTCAATGTCCATCTGCATTCTTCAGTAAGGCAAGATAAAGGAAGAGATTGGGACCGTCAGCAGTTGTTCACTTCTGAATACAGTGAAAACTGAGAGCATTACATGTCTTACAAGATTGAAGACTTTTGACGTGTAGATGTGGTTCTTCGGGATGTAATTTAGTGGTGGAATTGGCAGTACTGGGTCAATGGTTGGAGTCAATGATCTTACAGGTGTTTTCCAACCTAAATGATTCTATGATTACTTCCAGGTATACTAAATAAATAAAAAAGAAAAGTATATTAATTATTAAACTGGGTGTGTCCCTTTAAAAGCTGGGAAGAACAACCCTAGAGGATTTGTCTGAGATGATGCTACAGATGCATCTTTAACTGATCAGTTAGTGGTAGGTATCCAACATACGTCAGCAGTGATGGGCAGCTTCCCCATAAAGCAGTTGCAAAGTCYGGGAATACCTGATGTTACCTATAATTACATCCAAGACAAAAGGAACAACCTGAGAAATTCATCTGCCTGTCGATGTTATGAAATGAGTTGAAACTCACAGTGGAGACAATAATTAATGTGGGTATCATTCCAAGTAATTTTAGATGGTATTCTCACCACCCAGTGACATATGATGCTATAACCTGCGACCTGAAGGAGAATAACATGTGCAGCAAGTAATGCTTTTCAAAATGATACCTGCCCCATTTTGATCGCTTCTCCATTAAGCAAAATGAAAAAACTTCACTTGGCATGAGGGGGAAAAAAATACAAAATGAAAATCTGTAAATAGAAAAGAACTGTTTGTACTCAACCTTGGTGTGCTTAAGATCTCAGGTGTGGTCCCTTTATGTAAGACAAGTAGCAAATGCTGTTGTGTCAGGTAACATTTTTTGTCCACTTTGCTCTCCCTTTGCCAGAATGTAACTGACAGTGTCATTGACAAATCGCAGAGAAACCATGTCTGTGGTGAGTGCAGTTTAATGCCAGGACGCCCATGAATACCAGGAAGCTTTAATGCTTCTTAAATTTAAGAAGATGCAGATACCATTTGATACCTTGACTTTCCATCCTCCCTTTCCCAGTCACACACTTGGCTGACCAAACCCAGCACAAGCAGAATAGGTATTAGCACTGTACTCCTGATGTAATTTTCCAAATTGAATCTATCATAAAAATGAAAAATAGTGCTGTACTAGTGACAGATGCAGCCCACTCTCATTAAGTGGCTCACCTAAATTCAGTACTCTGGGTTTACAGCCCCAGGAAGACCTTTGAGCAGGAGACTATTTTCTAACATCCTGCAGCTCTCATTACATGGTGGTGCCCTGGACAAATGCACTGGCTAAGAGCCCTGTTCTATTCTATGTATATGAGCATATCCAAGTTTCCATAGAGGCTGCCTGCCTTTGGCTTTTACTCTAAAAGGCAGTCATCAAATTTTGTGTAAAGAAGTTTCTAGAAGAAAAGATCCACTTCATAACACTGCTGGAAAATATCCTCTTATTTGGACTTAGAGTGGAAATCGTGTGAATACAAGCAATCTGTCCCAGGAACCTAAGAACTTATAACAGCACAAATACAAATACTTGTATTTAAAACATAACATCCACTACTCAATGAGTATGTAAGGAACAATGCAATGCAGAGGAGGCATTAAGAATTTATGTGATTACTGTGAAACGTAGAAAAATGTGATTACATGGGTAATAAAGGAAAAACACATAGCAGACACAAATAGTATGTAAATTCAAAACCTTATCTTAAGGACCATCAGCAAGTGGACAACACATTAGGAAATAAATCTTACCCAAGGTCAGAGGCTACTTCTCAAAAAAAGGTCCCAAGTCATCAGCATGGACACAGGAGRAACATTAGTTTTTTGTCACTGTTTTTAGAAAACATAACTGGATGGGAATACTAAATTGCTGTAATGTATTTGAGAGAATACATCTCTTTCTAATACAAACKGTCTTGTTCCATAGAGGATAAATGAATATATCTACTGAGTTTGTTGCCATCAAGCTGTGTACTATGAGCTTTTCCCAGATAATTTCTTCTGGCTTTCCTCCCCTCCAGCATTTCATCAGTCACTATTTTCTTTGAAAGTCACAAAGCACCAGGTACATGTGGTRTTTCTATTTCCTACGTGTTAAACCATGACAACACCACAGAGATGTGTACCTTAAATTACATCAAATTTTACCTTCTGCTATTTAAAATGTTAAACCCCATAAAAGGATAGAGTGGTAGTCTAGACTGAGATACCACAATGAGGTATCAGGTTTGTACATGAAAAATGATTGCCTAGCCTTGTTGTAATCTTTAGGAAGATTTCATTCTGAGTTTTATATTTAAGACTCACCTAAATTCTTATCCCTAAATTCTTATCTCCTGTAACAATGCCTGTTTTTTAACATGGCAATTAGTATGTGGCCACAACAGCATTTCCTACCTGCCACATCTCCAGCCAMAAAGAGCAATTGGAATGGATGAATTTGTGATGCATTAAATAATGAAAAGAAAGCTACCAGAAGAAAATCTTGTCTTSCTAGACTCCATGCATGCTGGGCAGAGTCTTAGGAAGAGAAAAAATGTGGTAAATGGAACAGGATTAAAAAGCACTGGCTTCCCAGACTATCTTTCCTTCTCCAGGTGACTGAAATGTTTTAGATATGTGGAAAGTCTCTTGGCTGCAAAGTGCAAGACTTTTGGAGCTTCTCTATGTGTCCCCACTAACTTCAGCTGCTGAGAGACCAGTTTCCTTCCTCCTAATTTCTGCTGCAACATCCTGCATCCCTGAATTTGAAACTCAGACCCTGCCTCTGCACTGGAAGTAGTTCAAGYGCCCATCCTGCATTAGGTTTGCTGTAAACAATGAAGCATTGGCACGATTTTCCTTAATTGTCCTTGTTAAAATTCATATGCAAATGTGATAATTAAAAGCTTGCCTATCTGAACTCACTGAGGAAACAAGTCCAAAAAAATGCTTCCAGAAACATGTCCAGATGCAAAGCAAGGAGAGGACTATGCAGGGATCTGATTTTTGCCTGGCCTCTGCCACTGATTCACTTCAATAGTTTCTGCAAGTCATTTATTGTGCATCAATGGGCTTATTGATGGAGGAAAACCAGTATTTATTTCCTTTCACAAAGTTATCCTTAGTCTGACTAACCACCACTTGTGCAAATCTTTGGATGAAAGAAATCATTCGAGTTCTAAGCTCTTAATATATATTACTTATTGTACTTTAAAACAGTCATCACACTAGGTAGGAATTAACATTCCAATGCCTATAGGGTGGATACCTTTTCCTACATATATATATGAAAGTCATCAAGTGACCTGCCTCAGAGGAAGGACAACTGAAGACAGGTGAGTCTCATTCACTCACACGATATTTATTTAGAAGCAGAAGCCTTGATTTTGTTTTGATTTAGCATTCTGACAGTATTGTGATTGCTATGCTGTTTCTTCCTAAGGCCTGTGATGTTTTTGTGATGGGAGTGAAATGTCCTGCATGTGGAAAGAGCTACATCCTGTAGTTTTCAGTAGGGACCCAGATAGATTTGCCATTATATTCATAGGTACTGGGTCAAGCTGTATTCATCTGAGCCTGTGAGTACTCAGTGTAAGTGTTAGAGCTCAAATGAAGCTACTGAGTGTACCCTGGTCTGGCCATGGGCATTTGCTGGCCTGAATAAGCTCAGTCAGGACGAGGGAGTCTTTCCAAAAATCCCGGTGGATTATTTGTGTTTCTGCATCCGTGCAGTCTGGTTTGCAGTAAAAATGCAGGCTAGAGAAAAGGTCACATTATTAAAACTGATCATGAATTTTCAGCTGTTAACAGGATTAGTGTTAATTGCCAATTGCCTACAAGACTCGTGGTGCGTTTTGTGTTTAAAATCTTCTTGGGGGAAAAAAACCCCAACATTTGTAAGCCATAAAAGCTGCTCAGTTTAAATGTGTTCATCAGCAAGACAAATATAGTCAATTTTTTGCACTTGATATTCTGGAATTTTACTAATAGAYACAACAGCCTCATTTATTGGTAAAGTGATTATCTGCTAATATCACACAGAGAAGTATTATTTTTCCAAATAAATCTCAGAGTTGCCTTGCATGCTCTTAGCAGAGAATTAAGGGTCACATTGCTTGATTTTTGAGAACTTTTTTCAAAAGCCAAGGAAAAGTACTTTTAGAACAGAGAGGGAGCGTCTATGTGCGCTTTGTAGCACATTAGATTTCAAATACCTATAAAACAAAAGTAAAGGTAGTGGACCTTTTTATTGTAAAGACTGTGGGCCTTCAGGAGGGGCCATGTGAGCAAGCAATGAGAACTGATGGGCTAAAAAGGAACCTGCTGGTCCAGGCTGCCAACTTCCCTGATCCCAATCTCCCCATGGGGAGAAAATACCTTTGCTGCCCAACCAATGCCAATGCCAGCCCTGTCTGGTGCCTCAGGGCAGGAGCTTTTGGCATGCCAATTTTTCTACTGTGTTGTTGAATACCAGCAGTAATTTCTCCATGTTTTGCAAACCACTGTGTTTCCAGGTCTCCTGGGACAGCWGAGGAGAGCCATCACCATGATCCCYGCGCTGCTCTTGCTGGGTCTTTCGGCCCTTGTCGGTGAGATGGGTTTGGGTTGCTGTCAAAATCACGTTGGGAATTGTTTGCAGCAGGACCATGGAGAGGAAGTGTGTGGTCAGAGACCATCCTGAGACTCCCTTGCCATGTGGCTCTGTAAGGGTCTGTATGGCTGAAGGTCCTGGGCTGCTGGATGAAGCTGCTTGCTGCCCAAGTTTGTCTTTTAAACCAATACATCTGAAGAATGGGACTGAAACCAAGATCTCAGACATGTCTCCTCTTGTTTTTCCCAACTAACATTATCCAGCCTCCCTGCCTGCCTAGAAATGGTCTCACAAAAGTGGCAAACTCTTTGATGGAGGCTATTTGTTCCTCAATTACTGAGGACACAGGGTAATCTTCCCTGACAGAGGCAAGCATTCTCCTGAATTAATTCCTTACCAAGTTATGGAGGGACACAGGAGACAATACCAGCCAGGGTGCTCAGATAACCCCAGCCATCATCTGAGTGGCTCCCAACACTGGGAGGCATTGAATGGGAAAAGCCCTCTGCAATAAATGCAGAGGCTGTGGTTCTCYTCTCCCACACCAACCTTTAGACCTAGCAGGGCAGGTGCATATTCATCTAAATGGTCATTAGAGCCATTTGCTTCAATATTCAATTAGAAAAGAASCAATTTCTGTTCTCTTCCTTTCTTTGATAACATTACTGATGGAGAGCAGTGGTGGCTGTACAAGCAGGGCCAGCACAAGGGGATGTGGATTGCAAGTCTGGACAACTCTCATGCTTGACTTGTGTGAACTTGCAGCACTTGTACAATACTGCTCTGAGATCTTGTGTGCTCAAACACCCCCGTTTAATATTTCAGCTCCATCCGTGAGTTCCAGTTGCTATGGTGATATAAGTGCTCTTCAAGCCCCTACAATCTCCTGTACACCCGTAAGAACCTCTGACTGTGGTATGTATCATTCGTTGCTCGATTTGTCAACCTGTTTGTACCTGACAAAGAGATGCTTTACCTTCTGTTATTGCCAAATTAGATGTGGTGYAGCTATTCAATTAGCCAAAAGGGAGAAAGCAACATTTCCTCTCCCAAAATAGCAGGTGCTGCAAATCCTCCTGAGCCAGTGGGAAGTGGAAGGATAAACTTCAGGTCCCATAGTCACAATCTTTAGCCACAAAGCAAAGGGAAATAGATCCACCCCTTTGCAGTTAAAACAGCTTCTTCATCCGACAGAACTTTAGCATCAGCCACCTCACAAAACCCCAGGGCTTGCATGCTCCAAGGGTAAGAGGCACAGAGCCAGGTCCTGAGTGCTGGCATGTTGGCAGAGTTGGCCAGTGCTGACCTGCCAGACATACTTTACAGGGGGAAAGTCCTGGGTGTGTAGACAACCCACCTCTGGATGACTCATTTTTGGTAACTCCTTCACATTTCTCTTTCTTACTGGTGTTATTGTCCCATGTCTCCACACAGCTGACTCTGTCACGTTCACTCCAGGGATTTTGCCATGTTCCTGGATATAGACTCTTCCAGGGCAGAYGCCTGACTGCGGGTTTTCAAGCATAGATCTGAACCTACTTGCTTGTTTCAAAACTGTTCCAAATTTGCTTAAAAAAAGACCCAGCTCTCTATAAATAGAACATAGCTGTTCCTACATATTTGCCAGTCAGTAGTAGCATACCCCTCAATTTTTTCAAATCCAGTTTGAAACTTTTCTGACTCCAGAAATGCAGCAGAAGAAGAGGACCATGCACATGTGGTTCCACCTCCTAAGAAACCTCCCTGTTCCCCATATCATCCCTGGGTACTGAAAGAGCAGCTCCCTGGCCATGGTCAGAGTCGATAGGGCCATGCTTTTTGCTCAAACCCCAGTGTACAACTCAATGTAGCCATAATTCCTTAAAAACTTGAGTTACTCCTTTGACACACCTGCTCAAGGGGGAAGCAAGGGGTTTGGACAGGGGTGTGTGTAAGTCTGCCTTTTCCCATTGTGCAGGATATGCCATGATACGGAGGACTGCTGAGGCAGACCTGGTGCGCCTGAGGAGATACGAGATCCCAATTAAGAGAGTAGCCAGGAACCTGTGCTTGGACCCAGCRCTCATCGGTGCCATCATGTCCCAGGAGAGCCGGGTCGGCCTGCTCCTGAACAACGGCTGGGACCAGGGACGGCAGAGATACGGCCTGATGCAGGTACACCAGGGTGACACGCATGAGTAACAGCACGGCCATGYAGTGCATATCCCAGGGCCCCACCTTAGCAAAAGACTGTGCTTGAAACAGCACTTTAATGCAATCCCTCTACATCAACAGTTGTGCTTAAGTGTCGTCACTTCAATGGGTCACAGCCTGGGAGTGCAACAAAGAGGGGGTTGCATTCAGAGGGAAACTCATTTTCTTGCTTGTCTTTCCTAGATCAGCAGGCAGCAACTGCAACCTTACGTGGTGTGGGATAGTGAAGAACATATAAATCAGTGCTCAAATATCTTGGTTCTTTCCATTAATGAAGTACGGGCAAGACATCCTACCTGGTCCTGGGACCGGCAGCTGAGAGGTATGGCATTGGCTTCGTACTAAGAAGGGACAGACTGATAGGAGGTGCTGTGTGCATGTTGGTGCTGCTTTTAAGGAAAAAAGAACATAAGTCAGGAAGATTTTACAGCATCTCTTACAAAAAAAAATAATTAAAAAACCCAATCAAACAAAAAACCCCAACCAACCAAACGAAAAAAGCCCCTGAAGCCCCAAAATAAGAACCAGAATGAGAGTTTTCAAATTTATCAGAATCAGTATCAGACCAGCAGAATGGCAATGAGAAATCGCTGCTATGGGGATAAATAAGAGAGAAAGCAACTAAATAAAAGTCACTGAGGAATGCAAAAACTGGGGCATCACAAAACAAAAGGATTATTGTGGCAACCYGTTGTGTCCAGAAAGCTTGTGATCCAGGCTTCCTTGTAGTCTGTGSTATCTGTGTGCTGATTTGGTCACCCTATGTTATTTCTTACTCTCCCTTCCTTGCTCTGATACTGCCCTTCCTTTGCTCCGATTACATAATTTTCTAAAAACAGGGTTACATTTCCACCTGCATTTGGAGAGAGTTACAGGCTCCTTCCCTATGGCAATAAAGATTTTACAAAATCAGGCTTTTTCCAATAATGCACAATCGGCACATGGTGAAGCAGTTGTGTGTGTTTGGTGAGATGCATGGCCCTTTTTGCTACAGATTTTTGCTCTTAAATCTCTCTTCCTTACTTAAAAGCCCTTAATAACTCCTTAACTCTTTCCAGGCGGAATCTGCACCTATCATGCAAAAATGGGCAACCTCCAGGTCTACGAGGCGGACCCATGCAGCAGAGACTACAACTATGTCAACAGCGTGATAAGGCGAGCCCAGTACTTTAAGAGAAATGGGTTCTAGTTCATAAATCCASCCTGCCACCGAGCCTCCCCTCCTCTTAGACTGGCCCAGCAGTGACCACAGTACCCAGAGCAGTTCCCCAGGTCTCTGGGCAGGACCGATGCTGGTGGCATTGCCAATGACACCTTGCTCGCTCCATCARATCCCAGCTCCCCCATCACTGATGGGCAAGCCCAGCACTGCCTTCCAGGAGACCCCCAGGGATGAAATACCACAAGATGGGGACCTTTGAAATGGCAGATGGGGAACAGACCAGCAATGTTTAAATTTTGAGTGAGGAAGGTGACTCTTCCTGTTCAAAGCTGGACCCCAGGRCTTTGTGGTTTGCGCATCCCCCAGGCACACGCACACAAGCAGCTGTCCCTGGGCATCAGCTGGGCTCTTTCCATCTGCATCCAGCTCCTTCCCTCTCCATGGCCAAGGYGGGGGATGAAGTTTTCCTTCCCTTGGTGCTGCTGGCTAAGGGGCAATGAAGAGACYTTTGACTGAGTCTTTGGGCTCTGCAGTAGCTGAGTGCTCCTGTAGYCAGCCTTGATGGGGACAATGCTAAACATGCATTGGTTGGTCTCCTGAATCCATGGCCATGGTGCAACTGGGCACTTCTTCAGGGCCTCTATATGGAAAGTGCTGCAAGTGCCACAGCAGGCATACAAAATGCCTTTTCAGCAGAGACCAACCCTTGGAGCAGGAATCAGCCCTCTACATACCCACCCCAGGAGCTGTACCACATTAATAGTTCTGGTAAAAAACCCCACAACCTTTCCTGCTTTAGCTTTGGCACAGTTATACTGAGTTTCCTCCAAATTTAAAAGCATTTCAGCATCTCTCCCTCTGCCAGAAATCCCAGGTTCTAGCAGAAATGAATGAGCTCTGGGCCTATAAGGTCTGTTTGAAAAGTTGATGGGTCTCTCGGTGCCAATTTATTAATTAGCGAATAATTATGAGAATAAGAGAGAAAATAAAGATACGTGTTAAATCCCAGTGTTTATTTTTTTCAATTTCATGGGACTCAGTGGGTAGCAATCTGCAACTGAGCATATAATCTCACTCAATGCTCTTGGAATGGGTCTAAAACTCAGTTTGAGAACAGAGAGGAAAATGCTGCTGCATACTGGATAGGTCAGAAGAGCTGGGCCTGAGCCCAGCCACTGACCCAAACTTGTGAACATGGGAATAGGGATGTTCACGTTTAGCCTTTCAAATTACCATTTTGGAGGTGTCAGGGCACTTTTTTTCCAGCTGTCACCATTGCTGATGCAGAAATGATGTGCCTGGCAGTCCCTGCCTGGCAGTGAAGGGCAGTGTTGGGCTGCCAGGCAGGGTCAACACAGGCAGCATGAGAGCTGCTTTAGAGACAGCTTTTGCAAGCAGAGCAATTTTAATGCTGTGCCCTTCTCTTGCCAGTCACTCATCTGCTTACCATCATGGCAAGTTCTCTGCATGATTAAGGCACATTACAAGCAAACKAATTTTATCACCTTTGGAGACCAGAGGGAACTCTAGGATGTCTCAAATATCCCTGATTTTTTTTTTTAAGACTACCATAAACAGTTCAGTGTTGAGCAACAGGGTATTGAACTATATATTATTTAGCCTTTAGTGAATTCTGCACTATATTAATATAATTTTACTAAAATCAGTATTTTGTAGGGCAAACCTATGAAATGTATCACATGGTTGTCTACTTGGCATAGCTTATGTAAAATTCATAGGATGAAGCCTTTGCTGCATTATGTTATGTAAACCTCTATGTTACATAAACCTCTTATATAAAGCCTATGAATGAATTTTTGGTAGATCAGTATAAACTTCAAACGGGGCAGGGAATCTCATTGCTGCCTATGTGTACAAAGCTGGGGTTTGAGTTCCAAGGGTGAACAAGAGTGGAGCTTTCTTTGGTTGCCTTCATGTCATCCTCAGTCGTGGCCAGCAGGCTCCTTGTCACCACTACTGGTGCTGCCAACCCTGCAGAGCTCCTCAGGGGAGTCCAATTTGTGCAAGTATTACCTACGAAGCTGCTGCTTCATGTTATRGTAGCAACATCCAACGTCTGCAGACTGCCTGCTGGGTTGGACAGCATCACCACGAAGGATTATTTCTATTTTCAAGTCTTTTTAAAATTCCCAGTCATGGAAATTCCATATTTTGTTCMAAATATTGTTTTAGGGTATCAGYACTTTGCAATGAATACAGAAAATCTCTGCAGAAAATGAGCTGGAACTTGATGAACTGGTAGGTAGGAGTAAATAATTAAGGAAAGTTTAACAGGAGGATACTGTCTTAAGATGTGAGAGAAAKCTTTCCTGACAAATAATGAGTTCAGATTGTTGTTCCCCTCTGATGTTTTTCCAGTCACCTTTGTCCATGTTACTGGAGGTTACTCTTCTGCCTGATATAGGTAGGGCAGCTGCAGTCACTCTTTTGACCTRTGGCCTGTTGAAAAAAACCAAACCCAACAGACATGTTGCAAAGCAACACCAAGTAACACATCAGAAAAAGCAGAAGCACAGGTAAGGAAAGAGAACAGACGAATCAGAGGGGAAAGAAGGTCCAGGGAATCAAAGGCCGAGAAAACTGACTGCAATATTGAGGAAGATGCTTAAGGACTGAATGATTCCTTCAAGAGATCCCACAGGACAACAAAACAGCAAGAAACAGTCCAGGAGGGTTTTGGCAGCCTGACTTGCCAGGCAAAAACTACCTCAGACCAATTAAAATCTTTATCCAGCTGGGTAAATGGCAGAGAGAAGCCATGGTTGTGCCATATCATGATGTCAATAAGGCTTTCAGCAGAAATACAAAATGCCCTCATACGGAAAAGGCCTTAAAATAAGTAGAAAAAGCACTGATTATCAGCACCTTCTGGCCCAACTGGTGAGTCTTTTCAAGTGGAGCTACACTCATCTGTCCTACACCAGTTTCTCTGAAACTTGCAGTCAGAAAATGAATAGAGGGAGGTGAGCTATCAAACTGTGGGCTACACGGAGAGGGAACATGAGCACTTCCACTGATGGTTAGAAATGACGAAAACCAGTCAGGAACCAAAGCATTGAAATCAATCAAACACAGGTGCAAAACACTTGAGGAGGTCAAGCAGGGGTGTAGCATCCTGGTGACCATCCCACAGGAAGGGCTGGGGATTCTAGTGGGAAGCAAAGAAGTTGATGCAAATGGAGAAGGAGAGGAGAAATCAAAATCAAGGAAAATCCCATCTGGGGGTTATCTTTGTCACAGCACTGTGTGTGAAGCACCTGGGGTAACTCTTCTCTCAGCTTTTGAGCTGTCAGAGTCAGTGAGGCTTGGCAACAGTGTTTGAGCCTGTTGCACCAACAAAAATGCACTCAGGATAATCACAACCCTGTTGGAAAGTATAGCCTGTAGAAACAAGGAATTTTCTTTTTTTTTTTTTCCCCCAAAAAGAGAAAAAGCACACAATTATGATTTTTTAGCATACAAAAGAAATGAAAGGCAATGACTGCATCCTTCCCCTGGAGGGTAGGGCTAGTAGCAGTGATTTTGGCAGCAGATTTGTGTTGGATACTTCAAAAAACTTTTACAATAATGAAGCAATGCAACATTCCCTGGGTATTTTAAACATCCAAGATCAACATATAAAAGTAGCTGTACTTCATATATAATCAGAGAATGGTTTGAGTTGGAACAGACCTTAAAGATCACCAAGTTGCAACTCCCCTGCCATGGGCAGGGACACCTTCCACTAGACCAGGTTGCTCAGGGCTCCATCCAACCTGGCCTTGAACACTTCCAAGTATGGGGCATCCACAACTTCTCCAAACAACTTATTCCTGTGCCTCACCACACTCATAGTAAAGAATTTCTTTCTAACATCGAATCTAAACCTGCTCTTTGTGCAGTCACTATGTTGAAGAGAGGGGAAATGCAATAGGTGTTGTTTAAGGACCTTTCCACGCTAATGTTGTTGAATCAGAACCAGCAGTCAGCAAACGGAAAAGAAATTAGCCAGGGGAGAAAAACCTTCTCTCTTGGGGTCCTATGATTTGGTTTTACAGCTGATGTCAGTACTTGGAAATCTATTTAAATGTGCTTCCTACAATAAGGAGCAAGTGAGAGGTGGAGGCTTTCTCTCTCATCATCTTGTTAAGCTGCAGGTGGTATGGGCTGATCCCTCCATGGCTCAGGCAGGGATCTGCCTGGAGCCTGGAGCTGCAATAACTGGCTTTCATGGAAACCAGGCAGAGGGACCARTTAAACAGCCTCTTTCAGCAATAACTGAAGCAGGAGAAAAACATCATCAAAACAAGTCCCTGTTGGGTCAGAACCCTCAGCCACATGGGAGAACTGTTTGTTCCCATGGCTGATTCCAAATGCTGCAGCTGGATCAGTTTGAGCCACATGTCCATCTCTCTTTTTCTGAGACATGCAGAAAACAAAGGGAAATGCACATCAACGCAGCTCTGAATAACTGTGTTTATTCTGCTTTGTTACTCATTGCAAAACTGGGCTGGGATTTCCTAGCCAGCAACCTATTCCCAGGACAGAGCCTCTTGCATTTTCCAGGATGGGCACCAGCCTGTGGTCCCAAGGATCCCTGTGGAGCCGGTGCTGTGGCTGGGGTAACTGTTTCTAATGATTGCCTCAGTTTATTTAATTGCCTTCGTTGAAACTGAATACTCCCACAYTGGCTGCACATGGCCTGCTTTTTCCCATTTCAGTGTTAAAAGAGATCATGTTGTAGGATTGCAACTTCAGAGAATTTTACCACTAACACCCCACAAACCCTCGTGCCACTCTCTAGCATTTGTTTCTGTTGATTCCTCAACCAGCTTGACCCAGAAGCAGGGACTTATTGCAACCAAAAATTCTGCTTCTGCACCTTATTCCAATGAGGCACTGATCCAGCCAGTGTCCAGTCTCCCTCTCATGCCACCATCCTGCATTTACTGCTCCTCTGGCCTCACTGACCATTCTCACAGGATTCACAAAGAATAGTACAGTCCTACTACAGCATTTTTATCAGCAGCAACTGGGATTTCCACCCACGGGTTTTTAGGGTGCTTCTCTTTCCCTATAATATTWCTATGCTGTAACATTTTTATCCTTCACATACAGCATCACTCCTCCACTTCTACATCCTACTCAGTCGTTCCTGTGAGGCTGGCAGTGCTGWATCTCATGGTTTTCTAGCCTCCACCAAGCCTCTGAGACACCTGCTGTCTCAGGATTGTCATTTGGTCCAGGCATTTGGGTTCTSCTGGCACTTAAGTTTGCCTTTGCTTCATTGCTTAATACTGCAAAGTGCCAAATCCTTGCCACTTGTATTCTTTCTGTCTTTCTCAGGTACTGTGACCACAGTGKTTWTTTCCCTCCTTTCTTTTTTTTAAGAGATAAACTGAATGYCAGTCTTGTCCACCTTGCCAATCACATAAGTTGAAACTCATGGATATTCCACTCAGTGGATACTCCATCCTATTTGTCAGCCTTCCCCTGCCTCTAGTGGAAATTCTCCTCTAAAAGCTCTTCAGTTYCCAGTGACACGTGTTGTCTGTGCTACAGCTCAGGTGCAGCCTGCCCCTTCTGTGCTGCAGCTCTCATCCATGTTTTGCCAATTCCTCACGTCTCAACCATCTACAAGTCCCTGCATTTGTCCATGAGAAATGCAGCCTCGGGACAAGAGACCGTCTCCCAGCATGCGGAGCATCGTGTCTAACTGACACAGGCTGGGTAACATCTCACAGCTTAAAAGGGCTAATTGCTCTGGGAACCTTGTATCTGCCTAGTTTCTCCCCTGAAAACATAACTACGATCACTCACTCCTTACCCACTCCTTATTAAGCTAATTAGCAATGAGGAGAAATGTTCAAGAGTGTGAAAAAACTCACAGTGAGGATGTGGCTGACCTGGGACTCCTGCAGCCCTCAGCCTTCCACAAACATTCAATTTCCAGGAACTGGAAAGGTTTCTTGTTCCAAAGCAGGAAAGAAGAAATTTGACTA